AAAAAAAAAAAAAAAAAAAAAAAAAAAAAAAAAAAAAAAAAAAAAAAAAAGACAAAAAAAAAAATAAATAAAAAATAAAAAAAAAATAAAGCTTTGCTCATTGCCCTGGATCCTGCTGCTTTCTCTTTTGACAGGCCCTGGGAAGCAGCCCTCTCCTCCGCTCCCGCACCGGCTCCAACCCGGCGCGCGGGTGGGCGGGGCATGATTTCGCCCCGCCCCTGGCCGGCGGGGCGGGGCCGGGCACGCCCACCTGGCTGCGGGCGCGCGCGGCCACCTGCGGGCCGGCTCCTGTGGCTCGCAACTGCGGCTCCCGCAGCAGGCGGCGCTCCTGGCTTCTGAAGAAGCTCTTTGGAACGCTCCGCAGGGCTGTTGGCAGTGCAGGGCCCCGTTTGTCCCTGAGAGGAGGCAACAGGCTCACCACCTCCCCATGCCGTAGCAGGCGCGCTAGACCTCGGAGCCCTGTACCAGGACAGAATGGCAGGCTGGAAGAAGGCCCAGAACCAGGGGTAACCCCCACCCTCAGGAGCCCAACCCGGGGCTAAGCGTAGTCGGGAGCTGGACTGGCCTTTCCTTTCACAGGATCCACGAGGACCTCTCCATCACCCAGGGAGGTACCAGTGATCATTGTGCCCGTTTTACAGTTGAGCAGATCTAGGCCCCAAAAGCAGAAGTTAAGTACCCCAAATCTCATGCCTTGGGTGGAGCATAGAAAGGCTTCCAAAAGCTCCTTGACCCAATGTTTTTCTTTCTCCACCTCTGACGAATGCCACCTCTCCCAGGGAGCCTTCCATGATCTCTCCCTCCCCCTTCCTCCTCTAAACTCCAACAGACAAGCCCCTCTCTTGGGTACCTCTGAACTTTGCTGTAGGGAGGTGGCCTGTGTCAATGACTGTACTACTAATTTCTGAGCCCTGCTTTGGGCTAACCTCTCCTCACCCAGTCCTCCATGACCTTGTGCACAAGGCACAGGGAGATGTCAGGGTGTTCTCTTCTTGGCCCCCACCCCCCTAGGCTGGCACTCCATCAGATATAAACTTTCAAAGATGAAAGGAATGCCTGTGGGCTGTTGGCCCTGGAGCCCCTGGCACAAAGTAATTCATGTGACAAAAAAGCCAGCAGAGAAAATATCAAACCTTTACAACTTAGAAGGAAGAGTACACCAAGTCGACTGTTACCCAGAGCAGCAGGGCTTCCTGGGACCCCACTGGGCACTGGTGCCAGCTGAAACTGACTCAAGAGGGCTACAGTGCACATCTCTTTCTGGCTCTGTGTTCAGTGATGCCACCCTAGGGCCTGAAGTCAGCAATGCTGAGACTTTTTATACTACGGAAATTGGCAAACCCCTCAAACCAGGACATTCCACCAAAGATGTGGTGGTTAAACAGTGTGCTGGGCACTGGGCTACACACTTGGCACATGCCTGTTCATTTATAGTATCTAACCCTCACATCTACCCTGTGAGACAGGTGTTCTGTCTGAGGCTCAACTTTGACAGGAGCCCAGAGCCCACACAAGGAGCAGACAGAGCAGCAGGTGCCAGCTTTGCAGGTTGTGCAGCCCTGAGAGGCAGGGTCTGAGCTGCACCTCCCAGGGTGGGTGTCTTCCAGGGAGAGGTGGAGGGTGGGGGAGGACATTTCTGTCTTCTCTGTGGAGGCTGAAGAGCCCCAACCTAGCCCCTTCCTGAGCCTCCATAACCCACGCTGCAGAACAGGCTTGGTCATCCTGAATTGACCACCTTAAAGGGCTGCCAATTCCTCCCCGACTTGGTCAATCCAGGAAGGCACCCTGAGTACGCAGGCCTGTCCATGATAGGCATGTTCAGGCCTATCCAAGGGAAAACTAGGACTGGATGGAGCTAAGCATGTTCCAGGACCACCCCACACCAGTCTGGCCTCCTACTCCTGACAGGTCATGCTAGTGACATGTGGGCTTCATGCCTGCCTGGTGATGGAAGGGACAACCAGCCATTCACATCAGTGCCCGCGGACTGCTGCCCACCCACACTTGTAGATGTGTGTGAAGTGTGACTATACCCCCAAATCAGCAGGGAGCAGCCCAGGCCGTAGGGAGTCAGGGACCGAGTGCTGTGTACTCTGAGCCCTTCGGGGTGACCACGCAGCCTTGCTTACATGCCTCCGGTGATGGTGAACTCACTCCCTCTTCCGACCCATGACCATTAGAGTCTTCAGCTAAGTGGCTAGTGGACAGGTCACAGTTCTCTGTGCAAGAAATCTCAGGCTGGGCTCAGGAATAGGCCCTGAGACTCCAAGGAGCCTGAGAGATTCTCAGATAGACCTTGGAAGCCAGGATTTTGATGGGATTTGCTATGTGCCCTTAGCCTAGTCACTGGACCTCTCTGAGCCTCCATCTCCCTGGTGCTGAGATAGGGAGAATGAGCACTACCCATCTGCTTTGCTGGTTGTCCTGAGGTTCCATGAGCCAGGACTGTAGAAGGACACTCTGCAAACTGCATGACATAAGGTCACAAGGACAGCAACTGTCTTTGATGCTTGGAACAGTCATCTTGAAGGCTGATGGGCCAAGTAGGCATGATCACTTGCTTTCACAGATGAGCACATCGAGGCCTAGTCCAGATACTTTTCAACTTTAAGTAACTTGCTCAAGGTCTCCACAGAGTAGAGACTCTGACCTCCACCCCACCTCAGCTTCCCCAAGACTCAGCATCCCCCCTCAGCACTGGGGATCCCCTCAGTGAGACAAGTTTCCCCCAAGTCCAGGCTCCCCCTGATGCCCCAGCCTGATCCAGCCAGCAGATACTTGCAGGGTCTGTGCAGATGCAGTTCCAGGACCGAGTCGTCAGTCTGTTCATCTGTGAGATGGGCATGATGGTTGTGCCCAACAGTCTCGGCACACAGTAGGTGTTCAACAGACGTTTGTGGACAGAGGGAGACAGGCCAGCCCTGCTGCCCCTACTCACATCAGGGCCCTTCAAGACTCACCAGTTAGAAGGAGGTTGAGGTCCAGGCTTGGCCGGTGGGAGCCCAGCCCCCAGTACTTTCTGGGGTGGTCTGCCTCCGAGCAGGCTCAGGTCTAGCAGAGCCAGGCCACCTCCCTTAATGCCCCCCAGGTCATACCACAGGGAGGACACCCCAATGGGGGCAGAAGATGGGGGGGACAGTTCTGGGATAGCAGAGCTCAGGTAGGCGACAGGAATAGCCTGTGGAGACACAGAAAGTCTTCTCTACGACCTGAGGAAGGATGGGTGCGGGACAAAGGACAGACGTGTGGTGAAAGGAGGGTGGGGACAAGTGGGCTGTTGAAGTTCGGGCTCCCGCTCCTGGGAGGCGGCGGCAGAGGATAGCAGGGGCATCCCAGGCCGGAGCATCTTTGAGCCCTGGGTCTCATCCCCAGTGGGACAGGAGCTCCTGTGGGTAGGGCCCGGCGGGTGGTCGGGTGGTACTGGGTGAATGGACACTTCTGGAATGACTCAGCTGTAATGGACGGGCAGATGAAGAACCTCACGTCCTTCCAGTAACCGGGTTCCATTGGAAGCTTCTGAAGTGTGATACGCAGGCCGGAGAATGGCTGCAAACAGTCTTCTAAGTAAATACTTCGCTGTATTGGGAGAGGTGAGTTTTGGGGTGATCCTCGCTCTGGTAAGGCAGATAATATGGTTTAAAGTAAAATTGTAAGTGCAGGGGAAAAAAAACCCAGAAGGAGCAGTTGTGGGGGTGATCCTCGCTCTGGTAAGGCAGATAATATGGTTTAAAGTAAAATTGTAAGTGCAGGGAAAAAAAAACCCAGAAGGAGCAGTTGTGAGAAGGCAGAGCCCACCTGACCCCTCCCTGGGCCTCTCCTGCCTCAGTTTCTGCATCTGTAGGGTGGCACATTTTACCCTCTGACCCTCTATGGCCCTGTCCTGCCCCCTCCAACCCAGTGTGTGTCACACATAGCCGGACCTCAGCACCCCTGGAGGCCTGAGAAGCCCCTTCCGCCTGCCCTGCAGATTCTGCTGTGTGGGCCCGGGTGGGTGAGGCCCCAATGTTCAGAAGCTTCCAGGCGGTCCTGACACACAGCCAGGGCTGAGAAGCCTCATGGAGGCCCCAGGTGCTGCTGCATACAGGAGGTGCTCAGGAAACGCTGCCTTCTTGGGTGATCCCTCGGGTGGAACGAGCAACAGAGCAGACCCTCCGTTTGACACTGTGGGTCACGAATTGCCCTGACTCCTCAGGATTGCTTGTCTCCCTTGGGGGGAGGGGTGATTTCAGTTCCTGGAGCCCCAGATCTTGCCCGGATTGGACGCTGACCCCCAGCTCCCAGGTGGTCCTGCAGGGCAGAGGAGTACCCATCCACGGAGGCCCTTGTTTCCTTTTTGTGGGTCTGGACAACCCAGCCAGCTCGTGCAGCTGGAAAGGCAGATGAGGGGGCCTTGCTGCTCCGGCCCACTGGGAGTGGCTGTGCACCCGGTCACGGCTGCAGAGGGCCCACTATGTACAGAAACCCTACACTGCTGCTTTCAGAGATGCAGAGCCCAGGAGAGCCTTGAGGGGTCCAGGGCTGGTGGCGGGCTGGGGGCTGCCCTGGCAGGGACTGGGAGACCCATGGAGGGAGGTGCTCAATGCCCCCAGGAGGAAGGAAGACAAGCAGACACCATCCCGCAGCACTAGGACGAGCCTTCAGCTTATCTCTGAGAGCAGCATGTGGTGGGTAAATGTCTCAGTGCTGTAAGCTGGGGACAAAGCAGGACTTTGCTGTTGTGAGGTATGGCCATGTCTCCTCGAGTGAACCCAGACCTGGGCTTCCACTTACTCCCGCAGGCCCAGAGGGGAGAGTGGCACCTGGGCCTAAAGAGATGGAGGAGAATGTGGGGCCCTCGATGTCAAGAGGGCCCTCCAAACAGGGGCGTTGCACGGGAGCCTGGGGAACTTGGCATTGCGAGCTTCCTTGCTATAGCCAGGGTCACCCGCTGGGGAAGCTGGAGATCAGAGTCTGGAGGCAGGACGGAGGAGGGTGAAGTGCTGTAGAATGCAGACTCTGCTCTGTGCACTGTTCTGCACTTGGAACAGAGAGGCAGCTCCAATAGACAAGGGGGTGCAGACAGACCCTAATGAGGCCATGAGATGAATTAGGGAAGTCGGCAGCCAGCGATGTGCACAGCTAAGAGCTTGGGTCTGGAGGCTCTTGGATCTGATTCAAGGACTGGCACTGCCCACTGGCTGTGACCTTCAGCCTCTTTGTTAATTTCTCTGAACTTCAGTTTCCTCATTAGACAGCAGGACAGCAGAGGTGCCCACTTCTTGGGGTTGCCAGAGAACTCCCTGGAAGTTCTTAGCAGCCCAGGAAGGACTCAAAACACATCAGCTTCTGCTGGCTGCCAAGATAGCTGTCGCGTGTGATGGGGGTAGCACTGGGGGCCAGGTTTACTGAGCCGCTCTCAGCTTGACTCTGAGGCACTCTCCTGCCTTGGCGCAGACCCCCAGCTCCCTGGTCCTCCCCTCACTAGCAAGACCTGCCCTTAGAAAGGGGAATAGCCACAAATTCAGAAGAGCCATCCAATCTGCCTGGGGGCAAGTCCTAGTCCTCCTGTTTCCAAGGGGGATGTGGAGGTTTGAGGGGCCCAGGGACAGACATGCTCAGGGCTACAGATCTGGCGGGGGTCTATGTGGATAGAGCAGAAAGAAGCAGTCAGGCAGCAACGTGGATGTGCTTGGCAGAGGATCCCTGACCAGAGCCCACACTTACTGTGCAGGGCAGGTTCTGCCCATGACCAAGGCCAGGTTGTCCTCCCAGCGGGGGAGGCTGACTCAGACTTGAGCTGGCAGGGGTCTCTCCTGCCCAGAGTTTCCAATTTGCAATCGGTGGGGCCCTGTGTAGACTGGCAATTGGAGCCCACAGAGTCCCCTGGAGAACCCCCGAAGGGGCTCGTCACTCTCCGTGTAAATGCAGAAGAGGGTTTTTTCCACTTAGCCCTGAACTCGCCTGCCTGACTTCTGTTTTTTTCCAGCAAGCTCAGTATGAATTGCTTGTGCCTGTCCCTGGAAGTTCCTGGCTCATTCAGACTGAAGATGCGCCCACGTGGACATGAGGTCTTCATCAGACAACTGTCGGTCCTACTGTGTGCCTGGCTGGTGCTCACACCAGAAAATGACTACATTGTGTGACAGACCACATGGGACGCTGCTCAGACAGGGAACATGGAGCCCAGGATTAGGAGACAGAGGAAGAAGAAAAAGATGAAAAAGTGTTATTTTCTAAAGGACCCCAGTGGAGAGGGCCTTTTAAGAATGACACACAATCCAGAAGCTAGATCTATGGTGTACACAGTCGATTCTCCTTATTCGTGGTGGTCACACTCTACTGTAGAGTCACCACGAGCACTGAATTAGCGAACACAGAAAGCTCATTCCCAGAGGATGTCCAGGGCACTTCCAGTCGGTCTCATGTACAGATTGGTGAATCTGCTCTTCCTCTTTCTGCACGTACGGTTGATTCGGTCACAGACAACTCTCAGCCACCAGCGCTGTAACCCCCGCCTGGCCGAAGCTTCTCTAACACACACTCTTTCCCCAACGCACATCGCAGCCTTCTTGTTCTTAGGAACACCAGACAGCCCTTCAGCACTGTGCCTGGGGCCATTTTAAATGCAAAATCGCCAACAGAACACAAAAACCAGAAAGTGTGGCACTAAATAGAACCCAAGCTTCTCTAACACACACTCTTTCCCCAACGCACATCGCAGCCTTCTTGTTCTTAGGAACGCCAGACAGCCCTTCAGCACTGTGCCTGGGGCCATTTTAAATGCAAAATCGCCAACAGAACACAAAAACCAGAAAGTGTGGCACTAAATAGAACACCGAAGACCAACAACCCAATGGAGAAATGGACCAATGACGTGAGAATGAACAGAAAAAGAGTGCGAACGGCTCCTAAATACGAAAAAGTGCAACTTTGCTCATGAAAACGAAATTGCCGATCAAAACCACGAGAGCCCTCATGAAGCCACATTCCACCTGTCAGGTCGGCAGAAATGAGAAGTTCGAAAGTGTGCTGAGAGGCCATGGGGACAGACTCCCCCATGCTTTGCTGCGGGGGCAGCAATCAGATGCTTGTGCCCACAAATGTCACAAAGGCACGTGGCCTTCAGGGTAGGAGGCTGCCATCCTACCCGCAGGAGTTTGCTGTAGAATACGCACCTGAGCGTTGCACATGCGGCTCAGTGACAGAGCACTTCACGGTAAGTGACTCGCCTTTTGCCTCCTTTCATATTGCTGTGGGGCTTGCCTTGCTCTTTCAGTGGTGTGTTCAGGACTTGCATTATTTCCACACCTCACTTCCAGTAGTCTGGGGAGTGAGGCTCCCATTCATGACGCCGACACTCAGGCAGCCCCCTACAGGGGTCTCCAGTGGTACTGGGCACAGAGCAGTAGCTCTGAAGGGCCCACAGTGTGGGTGCCGGGTGCCAGGTGCCAGGGTGGGACCAGTCCCAGATCCAGGCTTTTTCATTGTGAGCTCATTCAGCCCAAGGCCTGGGTGGGCTGCGCCCCCCTCCTAACCATGCAGGGTGAAGACCCCCTTCCCTCCTATCCAGCACTGGCAGATTAGGGACACACTGTAAGGTGTGGACCACAGAGGGTCCACATAGATAACACACACAGATAACTTTCTGCCACCCAGCCTGATGGCCTACCCTGGACATCCAGTCACAGGACATGTCCCTCCACCACCCCACAGGTACTGACTATCACCCTCTGTCCCGGGTTGGTCCAAGCCCAATGCACAAGGGCTGACTTAAGGTCCCCCGATAACCCTGTGAAGTAGGAACAGTGACTTGGTATTTTACAGATGGAGAAGCCAGGCTCTGTGACACTACGTCACCTGCCCAAGGTCACATGCTAGTTCCTGGGGAGCACATGCAAACTGAGGCTGTAGGCCCCAGTGAGAAGGTGGGGCTGCTCCAGGGTGCCTGGTGGGGTGGAGCGGGACTCTCGACATAGCAGCTCCTGACATGCCCTACTGTTAGCCAAAATGGGACTGGCCACAGGGTTTTTTATTTTTCCCAACTTTTATTTTGGATAGTTTCAAACTCACAGGAAAAAATTGCAAGATTTTGCCATGTCTGCTTTTTTGCTTTCTCTCTCTCCACACACACACGCCAATGACTGCTATAACTGCCTTCAGGTGTCGCTGCCTCTGTCTCTTTGACCTCCCCCCAGCGCCCCCCCGCCACTGTCCTCTGAGTTATTCCCCTAATGAGTGACCTGCACATGGCTGCAGGCTGGCCTCTTCTCACTCACAGACTCTGAGCTCAAAAGTGGAGACACCACTGACTCTTATTTTGTGGTCTCCCTCTAGCAGTGAGCATCTCAGACCACTATTGCCTGCAAGTGACAAAACGCTAACTCAGACTGGCTTAAGCCAAAAAGGGGAATTTATTGATTGATCCAGTGAGAAGTCTGGTGAGCATCAAGTTTCAGGTATGGCTAGATCCAGTGCCCAAGTGCCATGTCCAGGACTCTCCTTTTTCCTCTTACAGCTCTACATCCTACTGTGGAGGTGTCATGCCCAGTCCAACTCTTCCCAGAGGCAGTACTCACAGCCACCAGCAACTGCAGATGATCTTCACTTCTCCTTCCACTGTTCTAGGAAAAGTCCTGGAACGGAATCCCATTGGCTGACTTAGATCATTGCCCATGCCTGATCCAATCACCATGAACAAGGCTGGAGTGCTCTGTCAGGCTGTGTCCTGTCCCCCTTGAATCAAAAGGGTAGGTGTTGGAGGGGGTTGCTCCCAAAAGAAGAGGGAAGCTCATCCATCCCACCAGCCATGACTTTGATCTTGCGGAGGCTAACTGGGCTCACCTTGAAGGTCTGCACTAACTCCCTGGGTCTCCATGCACGGCCCTTACCCTCTTGGCCATGGGAGGGGATGACAGGATGGTCCTGGGACAACCTGGCACACAATAGCTGCCCATTAAATGCTAGCTCTGTCCTCGAGGCTCCAGGCTCAGCACACATCTGCTGAGTGAGTCGCAGCCTCTTGGGGCCCCAGAATGCAAACCTCCGTTTTGCTAGAAGGTTTTATGTGAATTAGAGGCAGAATTGCTATTTTGCAAGATAATTAGCCACTGGCTACCAGAAGCATCTTTTGTTTTAAATAAAGACCTGAGGGGCCGGCCCGGTGGCACACTGCTACAGTGCGCCGCTTGGGAGCGCAGCGGCGCTCCTGCCGAGGGTTCGGATCCCACATACAGACCGCCGCTCACTGGCTGAGAGAGGTGTGGGCGCAACACCGAGGGTTGCAATCCTGTTGCCGGTCCCGGTCCGGTACGGGCGCGACACTGAGGGCTGCGATCCGTTGCCGGTCACAAAAAAAGACAAAAAGGAAAAAAATAAAAATAAAAATAAAAATAAAAAAAGTAAAGACCTGAAATGCAATGGTTATCTGCCAGGCACTAGTGGGTTACCTCCCAGGTGCCTTGGCCCAGGGGCATCACAGGAACAGGACAGCCCTGGAGCCCATGGGGATAAGGAATGCAAGGTGACTTAGCTTCATGGGGCTTGAAGTGGGCTTTGAAGTGAGGGTTTGGGGTGGTGAGGGAGCCTTGAGCCTGAAGTTGAGGAGCAGAGGTCAGGCCAGGCCCAGGCGTCTCACCACAGAGGTGAGAGGCAGCAAGAAACCTTGGCCTCTCTAAGGGGCTCTCCTTAAATGCCTGAGGTGGACATTTCTGCTTTTTTAACAGGTGGACAACCAAGGCTCAGAGAAGAAGAGGGAACTGCCCACAGGCACACAATGAACACATCATCATAGAACCAGGTCTCCAGGCCAGGGACTCAGGTTGCCACATTCCAGCCCAGAGGGAGTTAGTTACCAGTGAGCATTGACCAGATTTGTGGTGAGTCTCTACACAGAAGAGCATGGGGGCAGGGGTGGGGGTGGGACTTAAAGAGAAAGGTAAAACTGACCTATTAGAAAAAATTAAGAAAAAAGATTAAAAGGAAGGCATCTCCTTGAGAAAAAGATATGAAACATAAGGGGAAAGTACTAATATGCAAAAAGCTAATGTAGATCAATATGGAAAAAACCAAACTCCTGAAAGACATGCATAGACAAGTCACAAAAGGTCACAAAAAGCATAAGAGGACAGTTTGGCTCTCTGGGAACTGTTTTAAGACAATGAAGGCAAATTGACAGCTCCTCAAATGAGTTTAGCTGTTCTTGTTCTGCTAAGGTCAGGGGCTGGCAAAGCCCTGGCAAGGTGGGCACCTCCAGTGTCATTGTAGTTGAGTTGGTCAGTACAATCCCTTAGGAAAGCAATTTGGCAAAAGTCTCACACATTTTCTTACTCTTTGATCCTATCTCAGAATTTACCCTAAGGAAGGCAAAGATGTAGGCATAAAGTTGTTTATCTCAGAGATATATAAAATGCCAAAATATCGGAAACAATCATACTTTCCAGCAAGAGTGCCTGAGATGTAAGAATATGGTACATTAATAGAGTTTGGATGTGTTGTCCTCCCAATGCTCATGTCAAAATCTGATCCGCAAGTTGGCAATGTTGGGAGCAGTTTGGGTTATGGGGGCATATCCCTTGTGAATGGATTAATGCTCTCCCTGAGGGACAGGTAGTGAGTTCTTGCTCTATTAGTTCTCGAAAGAGCTGGTTGTTTAAAGGACCCTGGCACCACCTGTCTGTCTCTCTTGCTTCCTCTTGCCATGTGATCTGCTTGTACCTGCCAGCTGCTGCCACTTTCCGCCATGAGTAGAAGCAGCCTGAGGCCCATGCCAGATGTAGCTGTCCCAGAATCATAAGCCAAACAAACCTGTTTTTTATAAATTACCCAGTCTCAGGTATTCCGTTATAGCAACACAAAATGAGCTAATATATACATCATATTCCATATCATGTGGGGTGGTACATAGAGGTTGGTTATAAGGAATTTTTTAAAGGCATGGGAAAATGCTCATAAGACAATGCCGTTTTTTTAATTGGTAAGAGGTAACACATTTGTTAGTTTTTGTTCACAGAGGTAGGTCATAGAGTTGTTGATGTTCATTTGTCACCTCTTCTGTAGGGTGATTATATAGTCCACCTGATACAGGATGTGCTCAGTTTCCCTGGGCTGGGGTTTCAGGACATGCCTGTGGGTTTCCAGCCACTCCCTGAGGTCTCAGGCCCCCTCTTCTGAGTTAACCCTGGGAGGAAATCTACTTTTGCCAGTTAAACCTATTTTTAGAACCAACAAGGTGAAAATGAGATAACAGAGGGCTGACTTATACAATCTGGTGACTGGGCATGCTCAATAAACAGCACAGAACATTCTGGTGCATACAACTGGGAACTACCCCCTTAACTGAATATTCACAAGATAGAAAAACGATAAAAGGCAAATCTCAGCTGAAGGCAGGGTTGTTGCTCACCTTCCTGGTGGCAATGGGCACTTTGCTGGCTGAGGTGTATATAATTTACTTTGTATCTAAGTCACTTTCAGCAAGCAGCTGCTTATGTTCTTGAGCCAGCCTGCACTTTGTACTGAGCTTTACATAGGGTTTTCTTGCTTTTGCATTAGACTTGATGTCTGCACTGAACTTTGTGTTAAACTTGGCGTGGGCCCTGCTCAGTCTCTGGAGCATGCAGAAGTCTCTCCGTGGAACCTGCATTTCTTATCTATGTTATTAAACTTGTTCTCACTGTCTACTGTGACTCTGCCCTTGGATTCTTTCCTGTGGAGGAGTGGAGAACCTGGTAAGAGGACTGGGTGGGTTGAGGCCGACTATTGGGCCCCCTGGACCCGACCTCTGACATCACAGCTTGTCATGCATCCCCACGCTGTGCCTCTAACCCACCCACTGAAAGGAGCAGCCAGGAGACTCGCTTTGTCTGGTGGCTGGAGTGCGGGAGGCTGTGCACCAGCCTGGCAGCATCTTCAGGCATGATTTCAGTTTATCTTGGCCCGTGTGCTCCTCTGGATGGTAGCTGCTCTTTGCCCAGCCTGGCTCTGGGATGGGAAGTTACAGGGAGCAGAGCATATCCCTTACATAGCACTCACGTAAAATTCATGAAAGGTAAACCTTTGTTATCCTAAGCCACTAGGGTTTTGAGATCATTTGTTACCACAGCAGATGCTGACTGATACACGCAGCAGTGGGTTCCCAGCACTGTAAGAGAGCTTGGCGTGTCCTAGAAGCTCAAAAAACAATCGTTAAAAGAGCAAATAAAGCAACAATCGCAGAGAAAAGCACTGCTGGAAAATATACTTAATATTGGTGGTTATTTTTGTTTTGGTGAATTCTATTTTTCTTCTTTGTGCTTTTCTGGTATTTTCAGGTGTCCTATGCCTGCTTGGCCAAGCCTCAAGTCGGCCATTGGAGAATGTTACCGCATGTAATGCCCACCCCAACCCTTTCGTGATGAAGAAAATTGGCATGTGTGACTTAGCAATTACAAACACATGTTACAGGTTTTTTAAAAATATCGATAACAAAGGTAACACACTGCATTGGACATCTGCTATAAAACTTTCCCAAGGCTCAAGAGAGACTGAAAAATCTAGTTGTTATCATCATTATTGTTAAATTTCTAATAGACATTATTGTCACGTGGTTCAAAAACAGAAAATATAAGAACGTGTATGAGAGAAAGTTTCTCTTGTACCCTTGACCCGGTACCCCACCTCATGCCCACACAACACTGCTGGTTTCTGGAGTTTACATAAAAATAAGGGGCAGGTGCTTAATTTTCTCCCTTTGCTTACACAAGAGGAATGTGCATAACCCGCTCCTCGGTTTTTACTTCTCGGCCTAGCATTAAGCTTTGGGGATCTTCCGCACCAGTCCACACAGAGCATCCCTGTTCCTTGTGACAGCTGCATAGTACTCTGATGTCCAGAAGCACCAGGGTTTACGTAACCAGCTTGTTCTGGGGCCGCAAACAAAGCTGCAGTGAGCTATGACTTACTTGCTTGTGCCAAGCCCATCTGTAGGATGAGCTTCCAAAAGTAAATTTATTGAGTCGAAAAGCTTATGCATTTGTAATTTTGATAGATTTTGCCAAATTGCCTTCCAGAGAAATTGTACCAATTCACACTCCTGCCTGCAAGGCAGGGCAGCATCCGTTCCCCACAGCCTCGCCCACAGAGCGTGTTAATTGACTTTGGGATTAGAAGCAGGGCAGTAATTTCCACGTCTCTTGTTACACCCAAGGCTCAGCCTCTTCCCATGGGTGAGGGGCCATTTCTATGTCTCTTTTCTGCCAACTTCCCACCCAGAGGCTGACATCTCCCTGCCCCACCATCGAGGCCTGGGTTCCAATGTGAGTCCTGTGTGTGAGGATGCCTGAATGACTGCATAGCACCAGGACAGTGGACAGGATGAGCCTCCCAGCCTCTGAGTGTCTGGTACGGGTAGGGGAGAGCCACAGCCACGGCACGAGCCTGCTCTCAGCTCACACAGGACGTGGTGTGGACGCGGCCCCTTCCCTTAGAGCAAACGGGCAGGTGCCATGCCCACGACCGGCTCATACTGGCTTGGCCATCTCACCTGCGAAGTGGCCATGACAATCTCCCCTCCTCACAGGGCTATAGGGTAGGGTCAGTGTCGGTGGCGCCCAGACACAGATTGCTCTGTGGTGTTCACACCACTGCTGCTTGGGGGTCCTCCAGGTGTGAGAGGATCAGTCCAGGATGTGCTGGGCCCATTTCCCTGCCACACTGCCCTGTCCTCACAGGTGTCCAGGGAGGGGCTGGATGGTGATGCAGGATGCTGAGGAGCCCAGGAGTCCGCCTGGGGGACCCTGGCCCCATTTCCATCCCTGCTCCCGACACCCTGGCAGCAGCTGTCCACTGGACACCTTCCCTCAGTACCACGTGGATAACTCTACCTCCTCGGTTAGATCTCAAAAGTCACCTCCACAGAGAGGAAAGATCCCTGCAGAGTTCCTCTGTGACCTTTGCCTGTGCTTTCAGCCTTCCTGAAATCACCCTGCTGTCCAAGGGTCTCCCCTGCCTGTGAAGCGTGAGCGCAGGGACTGCACCCATCTGGCCTGGGCACCTTGCTCAGCTGGGCCCGAGCTGGCTGGAGGTGAATCGAGCTGGGGAATCTTCCTGGGACCCCACTGAGCAGGTTCTTAGCTGAGCTGTGCACGCAACCATAAGCGCAAGATGGGGCTGGTGCAGTGGCCGTGGGGAGTGTGGCCCCCTGGGCCAGATGACCTAGATTCAAGTCCTGCCCAGGGCCACCACAGGCCACATCTGCCTGAGGAAGAGATGCCCTAGGCTGGGGATGCTACCACAAGCTCACTAGCCCCACAAGGTCACTGAGTGGACAGAGTGGACACCTGCAGGGCTTGGAGCTGGTGGCCCAGGCTGGGTCATAGGAAGATCAGCTCCATGTGGCCAAGCCCCCAACCCCCAAAGTCCAACCTTCCTACACCCTGGACAGAGGCGGACAATGGGACTGGGTTGGCATCTCCCTCCTGCCCAAGGCCCCCTGTTAGCCCTGTTGTGTGGGGGGCAGTGGTGCTGGAATGATCTGGCACTTAGTCCACACCTGGGTCACTGCTGGTCACCAGGCAGCTCCGAAGGGGCCCATCTCCAGGCAGGGATCAGCAGAGGGCCCCAGGCCCACCTGATCCCAGTCCCAGCACTGGTGGTGGAGGCCCAAGGTCCTCCCGCCACATGGACCAATGGCTGTGCATAGTACTAACCAAGGTCCAGGGTGTTCTCCAGGTGTCCGGAGGCTCACAGAGGCATCTAGGGGCCAGCCTGGCTCACTAGTGCACCCAAACCTGCAGCTCACAAAGCACCTGCATCCACTCACAGGGTGCCAAGGGAGGAGGGAGGCATTAGCCTCATTGGAGGAGGTGACCACAGTCCCAGGGCAGCCCTATGGACTCGGTGTCAGCCAGGTTGTCTCAACTGGCCAGATCCTGCTCTTCTCAGTGACCCGAGGGGCCCAGGTCACACACCGCCACTGTCAGCCCCACCCGCAGGCCCAGGGCATGAGCATCTCTGTTGTCATTACTGTGAATGATGGCACAAAGCTTTGGACTTTATTTATGTAGCATGTTAATTTCACCTGTTTTGAACAGCAAACCTCACAGCCCTCGGCATCCAAAGGTCCCACGAGTCTCCCCCATCCCAGCCCCTGTCCTGTTCCCCCTCATGCGGGCCATGGAGTACCAGTGTCTGGGTGTCCCAAAGGTCCTTTCTGCACAGACAATTTGCACAACGGACACTTTCGCCATCTGCTTGCCCAGGTGGTGCCAGGCCAGGCAAACTGCTGCTTACCTTCCTAAAAATGCTGGTCATTTAATGCTTTATCTATATTTTAAACCCTTTCTACTGAAAAATACAACATGCGCCCAGAAAAGTGCATTGAACAGCTTAAAGAATTACTTCAACGTGCACACCTACAAGGCCACCGCAAGGTGAGGGTAGAACTTTGTCTCTTCAGGGTCTCTACACCCAGAAGTGGACCCTTCCCGGCAATCACAGCCTCAGTGTTGTTTTGTTGTCTGTTTTCTATCATTCTGCCACCCTCAAGGCTATAGATGACTTTGTCCTGTCCTAGCCTCATGCATATACATAGGAGCGAGATACCCTCAGATATGCCCAAGGGCCTGGCTGGCTCCCTGGTGGACAGACAGTTGCGTGGGCAGAATCCCAAGCTGTGAACTCTAGAGCCAGCTGCTTTCACTCAATGTCCGTGAGACATCATCATCCCCATTAAAACGTGTGTTCAGAAAAGGGGGACCCCCTCTAACACCAAGACACCCCAGCCAGCCACCTTGCTGCAGGGGGCTCCTCTAGGCTTCATTTCTGGGCCTGCATCTTTTTCAGGTGCATTCACTAACTCCCTCCTGCCAAGGGGCAGGCTCAAGCTTGGGTCCCAAGACATGACCCTGAGCGAGGTTGAGCCTCCCCACCCCCAGCACTCATGGCTCAGTCACAAGACTTATGAACTGCAGTTGGGTCTCCCCCGGGAAGAAGCTACCTCCCTGCTGCCCCCACCCCCTCAACAGCAGACCATCTACTTGCAGCTTAGGGAATGAGTTGTGCCCCTGGGAGGCCTAGATCCCAGGCCTGCGCCCTCACCTCATCCACAGAGAATGACACACAGACCGGTGAGGCCCTGCCAGGCATGTGTGGGGCAGACACATGAGGCTCATGGCCCTGGGCAGGCCATGTGATCCTCCAGCCTCCCTCCCCTCTGCAAAGCAGGAAGGACAGGAAGACGCAGGGGTGTGCGTGCAGTCTTTGCTCAAAGGACTGGGGGACGAAAAGGAGTTAGAGAATGAGGGAAGGAGGGAAGGAAGAAGAAGAATAGAGGAAATGACAGGGCAAACAATATAGGAGGGATATAAAGTAGAAAATGAGCCCTTGTTGGTCGGCTGTGAGGCCCTGGGTGCCCCGTCTGAGCTCACTTGCTGACCTGCAGGTGCAAACAGTAATAGCAGAGGAGGAGACGATAGCTCACCCTGGATTCCAAGCACCCGGAGCTCTCAGACCATGGGGATTTTTAAAGAAGGTCATTTTACAGCTGTGGTGTGCCTCACCCTGCTCTAGAGGGGGTCTCACCAGGGAGCCCCTTCTCAACATCACCTGGAGGTCAGAGGCAGGCGACAGGGCATAACTGTAGAGCTGCTGAAAGGGACG